GGGGTGAGGGGCGGCGGTGGGAAGGGTGAGGACGTGTGTGTGTATTGATTGGTATATGGTAGGGCAGGGGTAGGAGGTTGGGCCGGGCAGGGGCAGCGGCAGGAGAGCAGGCGCGGGCACGCAGGCGAGCCCTCTGCCAGCGCTGCTGCGGCCGGACAGGGGAAGGAAGGGAGGCAGGGGGCTCCCTGTGCGGCAGCATCGTCCCCGGCAACCCCGCTGCCCACCCTGCCCCACAGACACACCGGCGCACCCTTTGCCACAGACACACAAACGCACCCTCTCCCACAGACGCACACCCACACGCAGACGCACATGAGCACGCACAGGCACACCCGCCCCCACACACACACGCACACACGCGCACGCGCACACACACACACACACACACACACACACACACACACACACACACACGCACACACCAGGCAGGCAGCAAAGTAGAAAGCGGCGCACCTCCATGGGAATCAGCTCCAGCGTGGTCCCCGGCATCGCGCTTTCCACGGGAAGGTACCGCCCCCTGCTCAGCGCCTGCGGGTCGAACTGGCGGCTGCCCATGCGGCACATGTCCCTGCGGGGGGCAGAGGCGGGCAGGTGGAAAGCACGGGGGTCAGGTGTGTTGTGGTGGGTGTGGTGTGTGGGTGTGAAGGGGGGCTGGGGAGAAAGTGGTTGGGAGGGCGGACAAGTGGCCTGGTGGGAAGGCGGGCCGGCCCTTTGGCGCAACGGCAGGCAGGCAGCCATGCCCATCCGCAGCTCCATCCAAACCCCTCCTCCCACCCATCCGCCAAGCGCCTCCCACACCCCTCCCCAGCTGCCCTATGCCCGCGCGGATCAGGCCGCGCCCCGCGGCCCTCCCTCACTTCATGAGGGCTCGGATGAAGGCGCTCTTCCCCACGTTGGCAGCCCCCATCACAAACACATCCCTGCCGCGCCGCTCCCTGCGGATCGCGCCCACCGCCTCCGGCACGCCCGCCCCGGTGCGGCTGCTGACCTGCGGGGCAGGGCACAGCGGCAGCGGGCCGAGTGTGGAAAGGAGGGAGAGTGTGGACAGGCAGCGGGCAGAAGGGAGAGAGGGAGAGACAGAGTGTGTGGGGAGGGGGATGGATCACAGCAGCATGGGTTAGGTGGCAGCGGGCCAGCCATGCCAGGCGGCAAGCGGGCTGGCGTGCAACAGCGAGCAAGCGGCGGCGGCCAGCGCAAGCCGGGCGGGTCGCCAGTACATGAATTGTGCGTGCATTATATGCTGAATTCTGGTGCAGCGCACCAGGTGCACAGACACGGCGGCGATCCGCTTGAAGGCGGCGGCCGCCTGCAGCCAGGCCGCCACCTGGGCGCCGTCTGCGCCCGCGGGCAGCAGGTCGGCCTTGGTGCCCACCAGCATGATGGGGTTGTTGCCTGCGGGATGGTACGGGGGGCGGTTCCGTGGTTGCCATGTTGCAGTACAATAGCAGTACACTGTCGGACGAGGCAAACGCCTCGGCAGGTGCGGCAGGCGCGGCCGAGGGCCGGCAGCGGCCCTCTCCGGCCACGGCGGGCGCCTGCTCGTGCATCGGCGGTACGGCAGCGGTACTGCAGCAGTGCAGCAGCACATCGGCAGTACGGCAGCGGCACCACCCACCGACGAGCTCCCGAACTTTCCCCAGGATGCTGCCGCTCGCGTCCAGCAGGTCCACCAGGAGCACCACCAGCGCCCGCTGCTGCTGCACCACCCTGGGGGCAGGTGACACATGGGGGAGGAGGCAGGGGCAGGCAGGAGGGGAGGCTTAGGCAGGGGAGTCAGCCGAGAGGCCAGAACACAGCGCCTGCAGCTGTTGAGCACAGCGCCTGCCAAAGAGGGGCTCAGCAGAGCGGCGCCGGCAGCAGGCGGCGCGCGGTGCCGGCAACCAGCCCATTGAACGGCGGCGCAGGCAGAGGCGGCGGCCGGGCAAGGCACTGGGCACCATGCCCCTCTGCCCTCATTCCTGTGCGGGATACTGTACAGGGTGTTGTACAGCAGGCAGCGCTCACTTGAGCTTCTGGCGCAGCTCCTCGGGAGTCAGCAGCGCCTTGTCGGTGAACCCGGTGCGCCGCCGCCGCCGCTCCAGCTCCTGCGCCTGCTGCAGCTGGTCCTGCTCCTGCAGCGGGTCCTGGCGCCGCCCGGCGGCGGCAGCCTGCTCCCGCTCCTGCCCCTGCTGGGGCTGCTCCTGCTGGGGCGGCTGCCGCTGCTGCTGCTGCTGCTGCTGCTGCGGGAAGTCGACAACTGCGGGGATCATGGCGCCGTTTGACAGGTCCTGGCACCTGCGGCGATCG